TAAGATATCACCCTATTTTCCAAGAAAAAAGACTGACTGGAACTTAATTCTAAGAGATTCGCAGTAGCCAGCGTATCTACTATGATTTTATTCATAAGTATATTAAACAAAAGCGGGGAAAGAACACATCCTTGTTTTACCCCTTTTTTTGTCCTAAAAGATGGAGAAACCTTATTATTGATTTTTAAGGAGGCAAAAAGACTACTATAATGTGTTTTAAGGATCCTTATAATATTAGAGTCAATGCCACATTCGGTTAAAATCTTCCAAAGCGCATCATGGTTAACATTATCAAAAGCACGTTTAAAGTCGATAAAAATAAAGTAAAAAGGTAATTTATACTTCTGACATTTCTGCATTATAATCTTTAAAGCTAATATTGGTTCGTTTATATTTCTACCTGGACGGTAAGCACAAATGTATTTAGACAAAAGGTTTGGTGTAGAGGAAAGAATGCGATTTTTTAAAAGAACCATAAAAACTTTTGATGCAATAGACGTGAGAGCGATGGCTCTATAATCCTTGAATTTAGATGGATTTGGAATTTTCGGGAAGTTGCAAAAGATAGTCTTATTCCAATCCGCTGGCATCATCCCAGTCAACCATATCTTGTTAAACAAAGGAAGTAAGAACCGAGAGATCGTTAAGGGAGCTGCTTTCAGATGTTCTCCTGTAATGTTATCTGTACCCGGAGATTTATTATTCCTAAGCTTCTTAATAGCGGCCACAATTTCCGCCGATGAAAAGTTTGCGTCCAATTGTCCAGCATTTTGACTAGTGGATGGGATTAAGGTAGGCCTCCTAGAATCAAAGACTCCCATATAGTGGTCAAGCCATAACGCTATCTGTTCGTCGGGGTCAGTAATTAACCTATTATTATCCAGTCTTATAGTTGGAAGTGTCTTGAACACTTTGGCTTTACAAAAATAATTTAGTTTCTTGTAGGCGTCGAAAGTTCTATTTTCCCTCATATCCCTGTCTATCTCAAAAGCCTTTTTAGCAATGAAGATCCTTCTATCTCTCCTTAGGAGTCTATGAATTGAGGTCCATAATTGACCATCGCGCTCACCTCGTAACTTGAGTTGAGCTATCATACGAATGGTGTCCTCGGATAGCCATTCCTGTCTTGGTGGAGAAATGTTGATGTTAGGGAGATGGTTGTAGGCATCAAACAAGTTGTTTTTGAAAGACGCCCAACATTCTTCGACAGATTGAGACTCCGACGAGGATAAGAAAGTTGCCTCCCTATCATTTAAGAATAGATCGAGCTGTAGTTTGACTGCAGGGCGTTGCAGGTGTGTTGCATTTCTCTTCCAGGACAGGTATCTCGGCTGGGGTTGAAGAGAAGGACGCCGAGAGTTTCCCCATAAATTTTTCACAGTAATACTGGCTCTGATTAATTTATGATCAGAAATATTAATATTTGGCATTACTTTTACATCGATAAACCAACTATGGATGTTCGAGATGATAAAATCAATCTGAGACTTGATATTATTTCTACTGAAGGTTAGGGTATTTAATTCACTGTGTGAAAAGAAAGTATTTTCGACCTTGAGGTTTATACTCCTGCACATCTCCAATAACTTTCTGCTGTCATCACTGTTTAATTGAGAGAGAGTTGCATTCCCAATTACCCCATCTCTAATAAAGGAGTCATCTTTTCCGATCCTAGTATTTAAATCCCCAAGGATTATCAAATTACGACTCCTAGGAAGAGAGTTTACAATGTTTTCGAGGTCATCAAGGAATGCGAGCCGTTCGTTTCTTCTAGGCGGGGCATAGACATTAACTAAGATTGTTTGCCTGAAGCAGGTATTCAGGTATAGTAAACAGCATCTCTCCGAAATGGGCACAAATTTATCCACGTATTTGCATAATCTTTTGCTGATAAAGAAAGCAACCCCCGACCAATTATTGGAAGTGGTGCCAGAACTATACATTTCAAAGTTATTAAAGGTAGCCATATTATTATCTTTTGAGTGGGTCTCCTGTATCGCGATCACATCCATTTTTTCGTCGACCATGAGCCTTAGAAAAATGGTTAATTTATTCATTAAACCATTTATATTAAGCGAGGACATGATAAAATTTCCTTTCAAACCACTCGGGCGCAATATCACAGAGTTGTAGTCATCCATGTCCATAATGCAGAAAGTCAAAATTGAAAAATTCCACTTCGTAATACTTGTTGGAACTCATAAAAATGCATTTTCTCTATTGGAATTCATATCATTTGAAATATCTATTTCCATCTTAAAAATTATGATTCTTAACAAAAAATTGAAAAATGCTGGTTTCGTTAATTGCAATATGAAAGAGGAAAAAGTAAAAACAGCTGATTAAAAAATATAAGACTTTTTTGTTAAAAAATTGGATTAAATATTAATTTTTCAAATAAATAAAAATATCAAAAATGGTTAATTTAATAATAATAACAAATTAATGTATGAATGTATATAAAAAACCAATTTAATGATTCTAAATATTGTCCATCTCTAACATTCCACCCTCCAAAGAAATCCAGCCTAGGTCTCTTTGAGTGCCGAAAAATCGTCCCGATGTTCTTGATTTTTTACTATTATTATCGTTTCATATGTCACTTTGCTTTTATCTTTTAGCGTTTTCTTGCTTTTGTCACGTTTTATCGTTGGCTTGTTTTCATCTCGTTGGTTTGTTATTAACGTTTCGTCTCTTTGCTTATTTGTTTTTGTTCACCTTCCATAGTCATAAATTCAAAATGTGAAAATAATTATTGTGATGATTATAAAGACAATGAAATGTCTATAAAAGTCGATGATACTAATATTAGAGAAAACATTAAAATTAAAGAAACTCTTATAATAAATTCAAAATGTGAAAATAATTATTGTGATGATTATAAAGACAATGAAATGTCTATAAAAGTCGATGATACTAATATTAGAGAAAACATTAATATTAAGGAAACTCTTATAATAAATTCAAAATGTGAAAATAATTATTGTGATGATTATAAAGACAATGAAATGTCAACTAATGAAAATTTTCAGTATAATGACTTTAATAACTATGAAATTTTAAATAAAGAAAACTCTGATGATACAAATATAACAAGTAACACAAATGAAATAGATGAAATCTCTATATGGAAAACTTTAAATAAAATAGAATCCACGATTTATAGTAAAAAAAGTAATTGTAGGAACTGTGAAATCTTATTTATACTTAAGATGAAAGGATTTAAATTTAAAAATCTCTTAAAATTTTAAGGAGGGAGAAGTTATAAAAAGGATATGATTAATAATATATCTCATTTAAATCTTTAATTTTGACTTTATCAATGGAAAATTATTTTTTGACATAAAAATAAACAAAAAAAAACTAAATAAATATAAAAAAAAACTATATAAAACTCAATGTAAAATAAAAATAAACAAAAAATATATAAATAAAAAAAAAATGATATAAAACATTATAAATATAAAAAAAAACGATATAAAACGCAAAATAAATAATATAAAAAATTGTATAAAACGCGACACAAATAATAAAAAAAAAAACATTAAAACGCGATTCTTTATACATTCTTACAAATTCAATATTATTTTCTAAATGATGATTATATTCAATTGGATCGATTCTTATATTCAATTGGATCTATTCTTATGATTCCTAATTATTCTTGATTAACTAATAATAATGATAATGATTTGAAAAATAATATAAAAAAATGATAATAATGACTATGGAAGGTGAACAAAAACAAATAAGCAAAGAGACGAAACGTTAATAACAAACCAACGAGGTGAAAACAAGCCAACGATAAAACGTGACAAAAGCAAGACAACGCTAAAAGATAAAAGCAAAGTGACATATGAAACGATAATAATAGTAAAAAATCAAGAACATCGGGACGATTTTTCGGCACTCAAAGAGACCTAGGCTGGATTTCTTTGGAGGGTGGAATGTTAGAGATGGACAATATTTAGAATCATTAAATTTGTTTTTTATATACATTCATACATTAATTTGTTATTATTATTAAATTAACCATTTTTAGCATTAACATTTTTAGATTAATTGATTGTGAATTGATATAAATACATGTTAGAAAAATATAAAATTTAGTAATAAAGTATTATGTGATAAAAATATTTAAAACTTATTTGTTGCCTTCCATCAAACTTTTATATATAATTCGCTATATTGGTAAAAATTACTTGATTGTCATTTGATAATTAGATATACTGTAAATCTACCACATATAATATTCCACTGTTTGTATTGTGCTTTAATATTTTTTTAATTTATGATTTAATTTTATCAATAGTTTTATAATTATATTTTACTTTTATTAAGATAAATAAATTAAAATTACTCACTTTATAAAAAACTATATTTGATAAATTTCATTATTTAATAATTTTATGGATTTATTATTAATAATTATAATACATTTCACTTCTGTCTTAAGACTTATCTTTGGCTTATATTCCATTTATTAAAAAACATTTTTGGTTCATTTTATAAATTTATTTTCCAAAAATCTATATATTTATGATGAATAGTTTTATAAAAAAATATCAACTTTTACATTCTTTCTTTCAAATTATTATTTAAGATATGTGCATACATATTTGAGGGTCAGGGAGTGGGGGGAGGACTAAGGGGGATATTTTTTATTAACTAAAAATGATATTTACAAAAAGTGATAAATTTCTGAAGGGGGGATATTTAACCTTGCCCCTCCCCCTCTCTACGACTATGGATTTTAACATAAATAAGTCAAGTCAATGATTTAAATTTTACAGCATCGTTAAAGATAAGTTTAGTCAAAATTTTAAATTTAACAGCCACGTTAAAGGTTACATTAAATCTTGATCTTTATCAAAGAAGCAGAGATAGAAAATTTTACAAAAGGCTGATTATTTCACCGGAATTCGCAAATTAATTCGTGAATCGCAATCAATAGAGGTTTCCATAAAGCATGCATTCAGATAAATTCCCATATGGTTTTAAAAAAACTTATAAAGTATTTAAACAAGGATGACTTATATTTTAACTACTATGTCTTTCGTCCTATGCTTACTACACAATACAGGAAACGTATTTATACTATCCCAATTTCAATTCCTAGACCTAAATACATATATGACAATGTAGGGGAAGATATTAAAGAAAATTTTGTAATATTACCCAAAATTTCATATAATGAAATTGACATAGAAGGAATGAGGACTGTAGGAAGATTGGCTAAAAAGATAATGAAACATGTTTTTGAAAATATTGCTGTATATTATTTATTTTATTTATATATTTCATTTATTATATTAAAGATAGGGATGACAACAAATAGTGTTGATTATATCATATATCAAAAAATTATTGAAAATAATGCCTATCCATCTTTATTTGGATATAGAAAATATGTAAGATCTTCATTTATATCACCTAATAATGTTGCCAATCATGGCATGCCGGATTTTTATTTGTTAAGTGCAGGTGATATTCTCACTGTTGATTTTGCAGTTTATTATCAAGGGTATCATATTGATATAGCTGATACAGTTTTGATTGGTGATGTTGATAAACAGGCCCTTGAATTATGTGAAATGGCAAAAAAATGTACATATAATATAATTTCATCTTGTAAAGAAGGGCAACGTTTTAATATTATAGGAAAAATTGTGAGGTAGTTCTATTGATCCTTCATACAAATATGATATAATATTTACATAAATATAAAATAAAATTGAATATTTGCATTATCCTATTCAATTCATATTTTTGCTTGAATCAATTAATTATATTATTCGTTTGATAGTATTCCTTATTCATATTTGTACCAATAATAAAAGCATTAGTCAATTTAATTAAATTCTTTAAAAATATTTTCAAAATCGAAAATAAAATCATTAATCGATTTGTTATATTTGATTTAAATTCTTTAAAAATATTTTCAAAAATGAAACAAAATTTAATAAAGCGATTTATAGATTTGGCAAAAATAAAAAATATAAAGTTCCACAAGGAACTTAATATTTAAATAGAAATGCATGCCAAATTTCACAAAATATGCAAGCAGCACAAAAAATGATGCAATCTAAAAAAATGCAAAAGTATTCATAAAGCACAAGAATGACGTAAAAATTTTAACATTGCACAAAATAACTAACAATAAAACATAATAAATTTGTTAATTTTTTCTCTAAAAAATGTGTCTGTGCATTTTACCATTGTAATAATATTTTTTCCCTCTAGAAAAATTCTATCTGGAAACCATGTAAAATAAATGGCAGAAAGGTTTGGCCCTCATTTGATGAAACATTTTTTTGGTTAAAATCTTTATTTCACTATTTTTTAAAATCGACAAAATCAAGGTTTTTTAACTTTAGAATATTTTCAATGACATTATTCAATAATTTACCTTTTCAACTACAAAAGCAATTTTATTCTACCAACAACGTTTTTCTATCAAAATTTTATTTCTTTTTTATAAAATTATATTTTTATATATTACATATAAATTGCTCTAAAAAGGGAAACTTTGAAGAATTCTAGATTTTCTGTAATTCCTGAGTTTGCTGGTCATGGAATAGGCAAAAATCTATACGAATCTCCTCAAATAACTTTTGACGGTAATATATATTATAAACTATTACAAAATATAATTAAATATATAAACATTATTTATAGAAAGATATAAGATCCAGATTGATATGGAAGAAGTATAAAATTTTTAGAGACCTGCAAATTCAATTTTTTTTTTGGCTCAAGCAAGGCCGAAATTTTTATTTTTCAAACTGACCTGGTTCATATTTTTATTTTAGGTGCTTAGCCGGAAAATTTTAATTAACATATAATTTAAATAAATTTTTATGAAGTTAAATAAAGTAAGGATCACTAATTGCTTTGTCCTATCACTAATTATCTCTTTTTATTTTATTTTGTTAAACAAGAGAAAACATAATTTTTTTAGAATTCACCAGCCTGATATTAAAAAAAATTAATATCATGGTACAAAATATTTTAATTGAGCCCGCCCAAAGCGAAAAATTTTGCCAAGGCTGAACAAAAAAATTGAATCCTGGTCGGGCCTAAAATTTTACTTGAGCAGGTCTCTGATTTGAATGTCAAAATCGATGTTTGAATCAATATTTATGCATTCGAGTTTTCTTAGGTTAAGAAAATGATGCAGAAATCTTCCGTATGTATCTAAATTAAACGGATAAATTTTAGACCATCATTTATGAGAAAAATTATATATATTTTTTAATATATATATTTTAATTAAGGTTCTTATATTCCCGGTCATATGGAAAAAGGGATGATATTTACTATAGGTTATAAAGAAAATATCAAAACTATTATATTTCATTGATTATTCCAAATTACTATTTAACAATTTTAATTATATTTTACAGCTTTTTATTTGAATTTCAATATAAAATAATATATTTTTTTTAAAAATAGTTAACTAAAATTTGCGTTCTGTAGATAGAGGGCATTTATTACAAATCGTCCTAATCTAAGGTTTTTTTAAAAATTAGATATATAGGAATTATAAATTTAAAAAAAATAAAGACAGAGAAGCGAACCAAAATTATATAAATGATAAATGGATTATAAATAACAGAATGTTGAATTCTCAACTAAAGCTATCAAATTTTAATTAATCCCCAATCAAACCGAACCATGAAAACGGAAATGAAGCATTTAATTTTCAGAACCTTATCGAACCTTTATAAACACTTTAAAATTGAATTAAGTCGGTTCATAGTAGTTTTTTAATTATATTTATTTTTAAATGATTAAAGTAATTTAAAATATTTAAAAAATTAATATAGAACCTATTATCACTGAAGGAAAACCGAAGGTCTATTTATGGCCGAATACTTGTACCTTTTCAACTAAAGATTTGAGACGAACGGCTAAATTTGAGAGAACTATTATGATAACCGAGAGCGGCGCAGAAGTATTGACAGATTAAATCATAAATTAAATACGCAAATTTATTAACGTTACTTTATTGATTGTGGGATTATCTTGTTAAATTTAATATATTTTTGTTAAATATATTTAGTCGAAAACCTAATTATAAATAATTCAAACCAAAAGATTTGTAAATGTTTAGTTTTTTCTCATTCTCAATATTGATTCTTGGGTCCTATTAAATATTTTGTTTGAATACAAACTTTTTTAAAAAAAGGTCGCCGAGACCAAGTAAAAAAAATCTTTGGGTCTTAGCCCGAATAACTAAAACATTTATTTTATTCTCTAATGTTATTTATTAAATTTGAATATTCGGCAATGACAATGATTGATAATTTTATGATCTATTTATTAAAAATATTATTCCCATCCCTTAAATTAATAAAAAAATTCCTTTAATACTTTAATTAATATTTATTTGATCAAAGAAAATGTAATTGGAAAGAAAATATGAAAATAATATTTTCTCTGGCTAGGGCAACACCTATATTTTATCAATGATTTTACAGCCCAGATCTACGGTTGCCTCTACAGGACCTAAGCCTGTGGTAAACACATTGAGCTCTTATAATAGAATGAATAAAACTGTTTTTAATAAAATATGTTAATCAGTCCTCACCTACCAAATGGGCTTCTCTTACTTGGTGGTTTTTTTGTGTTTTATAAAGTCAACATCCAAATATTCGATCAATTTTTTTTAACATAAAAAGACATACTTTGTTTAGAAAATGACATTTCGTTATATATTGCCAAATTTAATTATTTGCCAACTCAATTAATAATATGCATGTAAATTATTAAATTAGACAAGATATTTAAAATTTTTAATTGACATAACCTTAAAAATCAACCTCTTTTTTAAAAGGGTTTCTCAACCAACATTTGACCCTAAGGCATTATACCTATATGAATGATTCAAGCACCTTTTCTACATACTATATAACTTTTTTTAATATATAGTTTCAACATCAGAAAAAATATGTGAATTTTGTAAATTTTCTTTAAAAACGAAATAAATGCGAAAAATAATTTGAAATAATTTATTTAATATATTAGTAATGAAAGACTATAATTTATATAATTTATAAACAAATATTAGTTATGCCTCATTTATAGTAACCACCAAACAACGCGATGTGGTTCGAATGTTGCGTAAATCATCGTTAAACGATAGCGTAGCTATATAATTTAACATTGTCTATTTTATAAATGAGCATCGATTGAGCGCCATCGCGGTATTTCACAGTTACTTTAAACGAGGCCTTAGTTACATTTAGTTTAATCATATAATTAAGAAATAGGCTTTTCATGAAAATCATAAATTTCCTGAATATGTTCCAATAATTGAAAAAAAGTTTTATATAGATAAGATCCTCTATAATGATTCTTAACTGGATCTGCAGTGTGGCCTATAAAAAAATTGAAGACCACGATTCCTATATAAATATAGAATATTAAAATATATATGTATTTAATTAATTGTTACTTTTATTGGGATATTCGTTCGCAATAATATAAAATGAATTTCTATCCTTGAAAGGAATATTTGTTATCAATAGGACGACAATATCTTGGCGGGGTAGTAATTTGGACAAAACATCATCACCAATGATAACATGTTTTAAGCAAGGAGATTGTTTAGTCTCTTAAAATATATAATTATTTTTTAACTAAATTAATTTATTGGATTAACTTTCAAAATCCATTTTTAATAGATTATTTAAATATGTTTCAGCTTGAACAACGTTGGACACATCTGATATATCGAAGTATTTATATTTTTTAATGTTCACTATGATTTTGCTTTTGTTGGTGAGCCATGAATTCATTAACTATCATTTAATAAAATAAGGATATAAGTTATTGAGCGTTTATTTTACTTCGTATATTTATTTCAAAATGATAGAGTTCTTAAGAATCAAGGTTATTTTATTTAAAAATTCGATATAAATATCTATCGGCCACTTTTAAAATTATATAATTCATTCTTTTTTATATTATATGTAGTTGAAGGAAAAGAGCGCTATTCGTTATTTTTTCCCAAAAAGAGCGCGTTACTTCTTACTTAAAATTTTTTTTACATAGAAATAATATATTTTATTATGTATATTTTTTTAAATTTTATTAATAATTTAAGCCGAGTTTTCAATTTAGATCAATCACTTAATATTCGGTTATATAGCAATATACTAACGACCAAATATATAATTCAATAAAACCCACTTTTACACTTTTAATATAATAATAACAAATGGAATCATGTGGTCATTTCCAATCTTTATATTATATCCCCACAGCACACAAGTAAGTTAGCTTCAAAAAACAACCCAATCCTTATTGGATTGAGCCCAGATAAGCCTACCGAATTATTTGTTCTTCAATATTCGATTCGTATTTTACGAATACTAAAGAACAGTTATTTGATTCTAAAATTTGAATCGAATATGAATAATTCGCCAAATAATAAATTCTTAATTATTTGAATCGAATTATTCTAAATTACATATTCGTAATTATTCTATTCGAAATTATTTATAATGGAATTCTTAATTACCTACATCATATAACATAAAGACAACAACTTTATCAGAAAAATTTAAGAAAATATTTAATGAATACAAAATTAAATATGATATTAACACTCTGATTACACAATAGTTCCTTTATACATGACGAAATATCATGAGGTTGAAATGTATCTTAGTGAATTAAGAATCGCTTCTAGTAATAGTCCATTAGAATGTTGGAGGCTCCATGGAGATCATTTTTCCCATTTGTCGAAAATTGCAACTAATATATTATCCATTTAGGGATCCTCGGCTTCAGTGAGTGGTAATATCTTTGAAGGAAGAAATCACTAGAAATTTATACTTGAAAAACTGGTTGTAATCAAATTCGGATCTAGCATACTTATATTTTTTACTGTATTATATTTTGATGTTTATATGAGATCATCGTGCATTTTTAAAAAATTGTAATAAACTTTTAGAATAATAGATTGAAGAAATAAGGTATATATAAGAATTTATTATTTTTTTTATAAGCAATTCCTAATCTAGAAATCCGGTGTTTTTGGTCAATTATTCGGATAACATTATAAAATCATTGGGTTTTATTTCGTTTATTATTTTTATAAATTTTGATATGCCAATGACAATTAGTTTTAGTAGAATACTTAAAAGTGTCATTTTAAAACATCAACATCTGTTTATAATTTTTTTTGCAAAATATGAGTTGTTAACGTCCTTTTTAAAAGTAGCTAGCTCCCGCTCCCTCTCCTACCTTCTCAAAATAGCTAGCTCCCGCTCCCGCTAATTAATTTTTAAAAAGAGCTATCCCGCTCCAATTAATGGAGTGCCACTCCATAGCCGCTCCTTTGATTTTCTTTTTTAAGAAAGTATACGAAACAAAATCATATTTTTTTGTCATAAAAGTTTTATTTATATTACAATATTTATAATCTTTTATTAGCTTTTAAAATTAATAAATTTTCTAAATTTGAATCTAACAAACATCCACGCCTCTCCCTTAAAACTTGTTTAGCGAAGCACGAGGAAAGTGGGATATTGTATTTTATACAAATATTTTTTAATTCAGGAAATTTATCAAAAATAGTAATTTTGATACCATTATTTAAAAAATTTGTTCATTATATTATCTTCCTGTTGATCATTTTCATGGAATCCAAAAATCCAAATCATTGCAGGTTCCCGTGAACTAGTAGCTATTTTTGCATCAGGAACTTATTTTCTTAAAAAATGAATTAATTTGTATTTTAGTTCCATAGTTTGTGCATTTTTTATCCATTCTCAATTTAATTTGAATGCAGAATGGATAATAGCCGCAATAAAGTTATTTAAATAGAAAATTTATTTTTTATTATAAACCTTATATTAATATCGCTTATAAGAGACTCTACAAGAGGTTGGCAAAACTCTAAATCTCCTAAGTCATTTATATTTGAAATAAGTTTAGAAATGGTTGGAGTTAAGAAACCCATTTCCATATGAAGCTCCCCTTCATGGATTTTTAAAACTTTTGCCAAAGGCTCCATAACCTAAAATTTATTTATTTCAATAAGATAAGGATTATATTAATATTTACATGGCTATACTCTTTAATAAATTAGCGTTCTTGAGAGTCATACGTATAAGCCCATGGTTATTCTTTTTGTTTACTTAATATTTTATCTCGCAAAATCAATTCAATAATACGAATTCTATCTAGTGGATTGGGCATATCAGATATCTACCCAATTTTTTAAAATATTATCTGCCATATTAGTAGACATATTTTGTTCATTCCATATGACAATTTTGGAAGGTACTTTGAGATATTATTGATTATTTACTTTTAGATGCTTTTTTAGAATGAGGCTACTTTTGAAAATGATAGTTTTTGGCCCTGATATTCGCTTCATTAGGATCTAACTCTTTTAGAAGAGAAAAATATTCTTTGAATGATGGAAATGGAAATTCGATTTCTTCTTCTATGATGTCTGGATCCATAATATCAAAAACTATCTTTTATCATATATCTATAAAATGAATATTAATATGACTTACAAGATTTTCCAAGAAATTTTCAATATAAAAAGAAAGAAAAACAGATGTTTAATATTTTACCTGATAAGATGAAAAACCAATATAAAACTCTGCTCAACATTTAATATTGCATACATTTAAATAAAATAGAACATATTTATTAAATTTTAATTTACAAGTAAATAGATTTATTAATATTTAAAAATTAATCTAATTTCCACATTAAATTTAAAAGAGCGGTGGAGCGGCGCTCCTCCACTCTAGCCCTAAAAGGCTAGCTCCCTCTCAAGGTGTTTTTGGAGGAAAAGTGTAGGAGGAACGCCTATTTTATAGCTCTGCTCCTTAACAACTCTGGCAAAATGTAATCTATTTTTTATAAGCTTTAGAAAAATTTTCAAATCGAATCAAATAATGATTCTATTGTTCGTAGTTATTTTGAAGGCCTCTACCTAGATAAACATGATAAATGATACACGCATTCACTGACTAGATCACTGATAATTATCGAAACCTGCGACTTTTATATATATTTAAGGTTGACAAAATTTGTAAATTTTTGGGGGAAAAAAATAAAAAATCAATTTTTTGCAATTTAATTCAAATGCAAATACTAATATTTCAATTAGAGATTACAGATTTAAATTAGAAAAAATCATTCATCATAATTTTTTTACCTTTGTATAATATTTCTTTATTAAAGTAAAAATTTAATACTTCAGGTGATGATCCGGTCTCGAAATTATTGAAAAATATTGATAATTCATGAGCTAATTTGATACCTGTCAAATGAAAAACCGAATCACTCAAATTTGATATGTGCAAACAGTTTAAAAAAATTTAACTAGACGATATCAGGCTGGAAAGAAAATCATTCATTTTCGAAAACGAATACCATTATGAATATCCTCAAATAAAATTGTTAAACCAAATTTAAAATTTTATTTTTTTGACTAATAATATAATGGTGGTTTTATTTTTAATTTTCACTACTGTTATTTCTCAATCGGATGTCATGATGTATTAGCCAAATTTAAAATAGTTAACCCATTTAAAATAATCTTCATTTATTAGCCTTGTGAAATTGTTAAGTATGTTTCAAAAATTAACATTTATGAAACTTTCCCTCTCCTCCCTTTTTATGATAGTCTAGTTTTTAAATTATATTATGATAAATATGGTTTAATTAGCCCCTTTTCTGAGGATAAATCAATTGTTTATAACAAAATATTATACACAAATCAAACAAGCGATTTAATCATTTTTATAACGTTTGGTTATTTGACAAAATTTTAAAATAAATTAATTATCTATATTAGTTTATTATTTAATTATTATTATATGGTTGTTTTTATAACCCACCATTCTGAAAATCAATATTATTATAATATTTCATCGACTCCTATCTTCTAACAACCAAATATGTTTCAAATTTACAAACAAAGAAATCAAAATAGCAATGAAACGTGGCTAATTTTATATATTCAACCAATTTAATATTTATCAATCATGATAAAATTACAAGCTACATCTACCCGTTAATAAAATTATGTTTTCAGAAATAATAAAAAAATGAATGATGGTTAACAGAGCCATTTAATTCGTTGTAAGCCAATCAACAGCTTCAGTAGAGTATTTTCTTCATATGGAGTATTTTAATAACTTAGGAATAGTTTAGGAAAACTAGTTTTCTTTTAATACCAATGTCGAGTAGTGTTTGATTATCAAGAGAAAATAAACATGTTAAAGAGTAGACCAAAAAAGGTTAACACGAAAACCTGTTTATTTAAAAAAATATAAATTCAAGTGTAAGAGAAATTAAAGACACGATAATATGTAGAAAGAATTCGACGACACCACTTACATCGAATATAGCGAGAAATAACAAAAAAAGATAGGAATGTTTTAGTAGAAGCATTTATATAATTGTATTATTTAGTTCTATAAGAATTATTTTAGATCATTTGACAAGTTTATTTATATTTATTCGCACACTTAATTTGTTTAATTTTGGATTCTGGTGACAATTTTATTATTCATATTAAGGTTAGAAGATAAATTTCTAAAAATGAAAAGGTTCGATTTACCTATGCAAGCGGATGCTTCAAATGCAAATAAAATATCAAGGTTAAAAAGTTATTACCGAACTTTTTCAGCCATATTTATTGCCTATTTTACCAGAAATTGAATAATATATATTAAATTTTGTTCCTTTAGGATAAATCCAATTGATATGAACATTAAATCTCTAAATATCAATAAATCATTTAAGACTTACACTAAAGAATTTAAACCTAAAATCAACCAAATAATAAAATAAAAGACTTTGAAATAATGTATACACACCGCTACACCATTATACTTCAATACATGAAAAATGCATTGTCAAAGTTAGGCATAAAATAAAATCGATCTTTTAATTACATTTAGATTTTGGAAGATATCATGATAATTCTCTTGTAAAATTTTAAAAAACAAATAGACTATTATTTTTTAAATTGTATTATTTATTCTATATAAAGATAAAATTATTCTTTATCGTAAATGCTAAAATATAGTATAAAAAACTGATGTTTTTGTTACTTTTACTAAAATAACTCTTTATTTTTCTGCACTACAAACTCTCGGGTTCAGAGATTTTTCACTGAACCAGAAACCTTTTTAGGAGGATTCACAGCCCTGAAATTAACAACTAATTATATTTTTTTAGAATATTAAATAATTTCTCACTCTACGTTAAGTATTTTGTTCAAATTTAATAAATAAAATTTTATTAAAAATATTGATTTAAATCACTAATTTATCGGATTGGTTGTTTATTTAGCCCAGCGAAAGCTGTGTTTAGGCGTCCTTGTTTATCTGTTCAATATTTTGAATCAATTGTTTAAATAAATATGTTACATAACGTACCTATCTTATATAATATATATTTTTATTTTATCTATGGGGGGAAAATAAAATTTTATATAAAATTGCCTATTTTTTAAGTAACATGTTACATTTTTTGCACTATAACGAAAAAAATAACGCAATCATTTTTCCAAACTTTTACAGCACTAATTATAATATATTAAAATCGACACCTTTTTTTCTTAAAAAAAACTCTTAAACATTAAAAAAAGGGAAAATATATTATTTAATATATATATTAATTTTTGAGGCTTAACATGCATACTGCCTTAAATTTTTTGAAAGGAGGATTATTAGTATTCATAAATTGTTACATACTTTTAATGTGTTAACAGCATTTTTAATATCAACTAATGTTGCATTGGTAGATAATTCCAACACTAGATAAGTTAATGCAATATTGGGCGAGCTATGATAGTAGATACCAGCTTCCTTCAATTTAGGAGAGCGTGCTAAATATTTATATCAAAATATTAGAGTAAAATGAAACAATATTATTATTTTTTACTTAGTATGGAATTAACCAGAAGAGAAGATGTTATAAAAAATATTATAGGCTTCATATTTAATATTTTTGTCTCAAATCGTATAAATTAAGTTACTTTATATACTATTATAATTATTATTTTTTATTATTATTACCTATGACTATTTGGAAAAATAACATAAATATTGAAAAAAGTAATTTGAGTCTTATCTTAAAAATTAGTTTCCCATTACATATCTAAGTTTCAATTTAATTAAAAATTTCAAGGTCTTTCAAATTTATAATAGCTAGAATTAAATAATTTATCAATACAAGGTGAAATACTGCATAATTAATTGGTAATTTAATTAGAAAACTGTTTTTATAATATATGATACACAAAAAACAAATTTTAGAAATTATTTTGATAAGATAAAGCTTAGTTACAATTCCCCGGAAGAAATTAAGAAATGCACGAAAATAATTAGATAAGGCAATAAGTTGTATTATTTATTAATTTGTAAATATGGGGGGGGGGGGATTTGATAGAGTATTGTATAATATCACTAGGGTTGCATATATATTTTGACGCCTGCTGAATCGAATAGGAGGCATGAGCAGAACACCTGATAGAATAAGATGAAAGTAGAGTTACTTCAGCAATCTATCTTTATTCCAATTATTTTTGATAGTAGTGAAGTTGACAAGGGATAAGCCGATACGATAATCTTATGTTGTGAAAAGGTGAAACAGAAAAAAGATATGAAGATAAAATGACGAGTATGGAAGCAAAGGACATGAAAGTAAATATAGGTAGAACAAATATGGTGATTGAAGACGAAAGGAATGGAATAAGAAAACAAAGTTTTCTCTGGAGAATGCCTAGAATCATGACAATTATGAAGATATTTTGAGGGTATAATTAGATCTATGCGCCAAATCTTAATTGAAGGTAGCGGCCTTTTTAAATTATCGGCGTTCGGCTGCGCGTTGATTTTGCCGCTGCCTAATAAATTAGCAGTGGCTGCGGCCTCTATTTATTAAAAAAATTTATTAAAACAAATTAAAATATGATATATGAAATATAATAAATTAGAAATCAGATTTAGTAAAATTATAATTGTCCTGAATAAAGTATTTTATCGAGATTCGTGGGACATAAAGATGGTATTAATCCAGCAAAGGAAAAAAAATTATTTCGCTGGGCCAAAGAACCTTCCTAGTAAATTAGCAAGCCTAGTAATTTCCAGTGTCACTTTTTTTTTAAAGTTAATGCTCCTCTTTTCGTATACTATTTTAGCTGTGAAAAAGTTTACATTCTTGTTAGATTGCTAATGTTATTATAATCGTTGCTTGGAAGGGAATGTTTACGAGCTATTTTAGCGATATATGAACTATATGTTTGCCCATTATCTTCAACTTGAATCTCACTTTGTGCATTTCTATCATGCCCAAAAAGTTATAAATGTTTAATTAAAAATTGCAATGGTGTAAAATTCGAATTTTATCATTCTGAAATAACTTTAAGTTTAAAATCTTGGATTAAGTGGTGTCTCTAATCTCTAATGTTTAAAATATAATTTTACTAATAAAAATATAATATAAAAAAAATTATTAGAAGTTGGTAATTAGAAACCTACCTTTTGCATATTTTCTTTTAGGCAAATGATATCTGAGCAATCAGATTTATTGATTTGTATCTGTTTCTATTTCACCGCGAAATAATAGCTCTGAATTTATTGCGGATCCCTTTTGGAAGGAAAGAAATTTCACCCACTCTCGGAATGGATTTAATATGTGTATTCGTTAATTGTATCCCAGTCTTTATTAAAAAGCTTTGAGGATTGTTTTTCTATTATATTGATTGAACATTATTTATAGGAATCTTGTTAACACTACGGATACTTTATAGCATAATTAATGCTGTGCCAGCGGATAAGGCAATTTAATTTTAAAGTTTTCATAGTAATAATATCTGGTGCAATGCATTTATATTATCAGCATCAGAGTTATCAAAATGTTTTTGTATGGATCATAATCATCTATCCAAAATATAACTTACCTCATAAATTGTTTGTAGGCATTTACAATTCTGCATAAATGATGCTCATAATCCCCCAATTCGATGTTTCTCTTAACATTTTCACCATCATTATTACCACTGTTTTTTAAACGGAATTCCTTTTCTTTACTATCTATCTCAGATAATATGGTTTCACCAGTAAGCTTTTGCATCACGTTCTAGTTGACAGGGAAAAATATTTTAAATCAAAATTTTGATTTAAATGATGAAGACTAAACGTGATATAATTTCGACGCCTGAAATGATCTGTCCAATCAAAAGTGATAGAACAAAGGTGTATAATCAATCAGATAAACATGTGCCTTTATATATGAATAAACATCGTCTAGAGCACGCTGATTAATTGCTGTCCTATCAGCCAATTCTGATGAGGAAGCAATTATCCTATATTTTTCTATCTTTTAGACAATTTATTTTTTAATAATAATTTTATTTAAAACTTTAGAAAATCAGTTATTCCCTTATTGTTTATAGAATCAAATAGCATTAAATCTAAACAGTACATCAACACAATTTTGCCTGATTAGATTTCTTATTTATTTTATATCAATATTATTTATATTTTATTTTTTAATATTCAAATTTAAATAATAATTTAATATATAAATATAATTAAATAGCTTTTCTAAAGATTCCACACACCGAGTCCGGCGTTAAAAGGCGACGGGCCTGGAACGCCGCTCCTCTTAATTGGCGGCTTTTTTGGCATGAATAAAATTGCCGTGGGCGTCGACGTGAGCCTGCGGCTCTCAGGTCTAGGTATTACCAACTTCGATCAACCTGAATTCAAGTTATTTTTTTTATCCTTTTGCCAAAATATTTTTTAAATTTAGTTTGTTAATTTTTTTTAAATATGATGTAAGAAAATAAAATCCATCCCCCCACCTCCCCCTTGCCTAGCTAGCCACCGATAATACGAATAATGAATAATTCAATTTTTTTAAATAAATTACATTTTTTATTATATATTACACAAAATTTCAAATACTTTATTGCGAATTTTTATTCTTTTAATATTCAATTTAAAAACAAATTCTTTTAATTGTTTCTTCTTTTAGGGACATGCGATTTGGTATTCATACTTGTGTCTGTAGAAAATGAACATTCATATGACGTAGAAGAAGTCTTATTATGAATTACAAAAATTTGCAAATAATAAGAGGATTATATAATTAATCAAATTTATTATTTTGTCTTTTTATTATTATTCGTATTCGTGGCCTATATACTACTTTATAAAATATATATTATGCAAAAAATTTGAATTAAAAAAAATTTGTTATCTTAAAATGGTATAAATTTAAGCTTCAATGTAATTCAATGTTTATTTTTAAATGAAGGAAGAATCAAAAAATTATTTTCAGAGGCTTCCAGCTTTTATAGACTAAATTTGATTTCACAACTGCTGAATAGTTTAATTTTTTAAAGTAATTTAGTACGAATTTTTTTTCAAATCTTAATAATGAACCTTAACAATCTAATAAAACGTTTTATTTTGAAATTTTTCAAAAACCCAATAATATTTTAAAAACTACAATTAAAATATAGATTTTACAAAACTATGTAGATTAATTTATAGTGGATATTATTTTTTTTACACAGTTACAATTATATAATGGAACAAAAGCCAAATTTTAATAAACTAGTATGAAATACTATAATTTAATAGTTTAAATAATCAATAATAATGAAACGAATATTTTAGCAAAGCTATTCAAATATTTTAAAAAGTGGGCTTTATCTCTTATGAGTGTAGGCTAAAAATTTCATTGACGTGTTTTTTCAATTGGGAAAAGTTAGGATATAGATAAACTCCTCTATGATTATGATCAGCTTGGTCTGCGGTGGAGCTTACAACAAAATTGAAGACTACTATTCCTACACAAATGTGGAATTATATTAGATATTTAAATGTATAGAAGCATAAATACTTTTATTAGAATGAGGATATTTGTTTGCAATGTTAAAAATATTATTTCTGTCCTTATGAATATTTGTTATCAATAGGACGACAATATCATGGTCGGAGGATAATGTTTTCAAAACATCATCACTAATTTTAACATGTTTTGAACTAGGGGATTGTTTAAGATCTTTTGATATTAATTAAAAACTATATATTCAAGTAATTTATAGATTTACTTTCAAAATCGATTTCTAACAAGTTGTCTAAATAAGCTTCAACTTGAGTAGTGTCCAAAATGTTTGATTTGTCGAAGTATTTATATCTTTGAATGTTTACTAAGATTTTGGTTTTCCCACGGAATAATTGATTAATTATCTATAATTTTTAATGAGAATATACCTGTTTTAATAATGTTTACCTCTATAAATGACAGATTTATAAGTAGTCTAATTTATATATTAAGAAACGTATTGTAAATGATATTCAAAGTTAAGTAAATCATAGTAAAAATTTAAAATTAAGTTGAGCAAAAATTCCCTTTTGACATTTAATATAATGATATAAATAATTTTAGTAAACTATTATATACCTTTAATGAGTTGACGGCATCTTTAATATCAATTAATGTTGTATTGGTAGATAATTCTAGTACTAGATAGGTTAATTCAACTTTGGGCGAACTATGGTAATATACACCAACTTCCTTCAATTTCCCAGGACGTGCTAAATTTATATATAAGTTACCAGCAATGTGTATATTATATCTTTACTTATTATAGAGTGTATCAGGAGATAAGATGTTATAAAAAATATTACAGCCTTCATAATGAATAAAAAAATTAATTTAATTTCTTTCTAAATGAAGATTATATGTTTTTATTTTTAAAAATGTGTTTATCCTTATTTTTTACATACTATGAAATTGGTTCTAACCTCTAGGGTTATGCCCAAAAATATAAAATATTTTTTTTCAAAATACTCATTTTTTGACATTTTTTATGAAAACATATTAAGGAAAATTTTTTTAATGCGTCATGCATGTAGTTTTTATTTAAAATTTAAATATATGTTTTTGTAGTTTTTACATCAAAACATATTAAATGCGAAAATAATAATTTTGTTGATAAATTTTTTTAATATTTTGAG